AGAGAAAATTGTATGAGAAACCAAGAAAATTTCCTCAACATTCGAAAGGAGAAGAAAATAACTATTCAAAAAGCTGAGAGAACTCCAAAGAGAATACACTCCCCAAAGAAAAACATCGTAACATACTGTAATTAAACTATTCAATTTCAAGAAAATGAATCCGGAGGGCAGCTAGAGAAAAATGAACTGTTACCTACAAAGGAAAAGTGGTAAGGATAAGCTCAGACTTCTCAGTAGCAACTATGAATGCAAGAAGACAATAGAGAGACAAAATTCTGAAAGGAAAACACCTGTCAACCAAGAATTTATATCCAGCAATATTATCCCTCAAATACAAGGTAGAAATAAAGATATATTCGGAAAAAGAAAAACTAGAGGAGCTCGCATAAACAAGACAAGCATTATAAGTCATTACTTAATGCAAACAGAACAAGAGAATACTGCATGGTTAAAAATCAGGAAAGATGTGCATCATGGTTGTATCCTCTCACCCTAATTATTCAATCTGTACGCTGAGTAAATAAGGGAAGCTGGGTTACATGAAGAATACAGCATCTGGAGGGGAGGCGGGCTTATTTACCATCTTCAATATTCAGATAACAAAAACTTGCTTGCTGACAGCGAGAAGAGCTTGAAGCACTTGCTGATGATCAAAGATTTCAGCCTTCAGTATGGATTGCACCTCAATGTAAAGACCCAAGTCCTCACAACTGGACCACAGGAACACCGTGATAAATGTAGAAAAGACTGAAGTCATCAAGGATTCTGCCTTGCTTGGATCCACAATTAATGTTCACGGAACCATCTATCAAGAGATCAAAAAACGAGCTGCATTGGGCAAATATGCAGCCCAAGACTTCTTTAGATTGTTGAAAAGCAGAGAGTTTACTTTGAAGACTAAGGTTTTTGTGATAGTTAGGTTTTCTTGTGCCAACATGGCACCTATAAGAAGATGTGGATGGAGTTTAGCCTGTCAATGAGGTCACAGACTGATCGCCCTTGGGGGTGCGACTGAGATATATAGTTCTTTGGAGGACAGCCTCTTTCTCTCCTTGGTGGTTGGACCAGAGCACTGCTTAATGCAGCTGCCTGTATCATCATGTGTGCTGTGCCACCTAGCTGAGCCATCTGAGGACTACATCGCTGTGCTGTTCCATGCCGTGCTTCACCTTGCCGTGTCTGCTGTCAGTGGGTAGACTCAGCCCGTTTTCCCACCACTCCAGATGCTGCACCTCCATCCAGTCACCTTAAATTGCTACACCATCAGTAACCACTGAGACCTGCTTTGTCAAGCTGCACTATTGGCTTCTGCTACACCTCACAGCCTCATCTTCCTACTGTCTGCCTTGCTGGCCTTAGGCTAGTGGCTGGATGTGTTGGAAAGACCTTCAGTATATTACCTGGCCCATGAAAGTGAGTTGGACTGGGTTCTGTACTGCTGTTTGGACAAATTTGCCATTATATTCCTTTTCACTCTATCTATCTATCTATCTATCTATCTATCTATCTATCTATCTATCTATCTATCTATCTATCTTTCATCATAAGTGTCCTGGTTTTGCCTCTCTAGAGAACTCTGTCTAATACAGTATTGCCTGACCCAAGCAATGGTATTCTCAATCACTTCATAGGCATCTACAAGTTGAACAGTGAATAAAGAAGACTGAAAAAGAATCAATGCACTTGAATTATGGTGCTGGCACAGTTTAGTGCCATGGGCTGCCAAAAGAACAAGCAAATCTGTCTTGGAAGAACTATGGCCAGATTTTTCCTTAGAGGCAAGGATGGCATCACTTTGTCTTACATACGTTGGACATGTTGTCAGCAGAGACCAGTAGCTCCTGAAGAAGGACATCATGCTTGGTGGAGTAGAGGGGTAATGGAAAAGAGGAAGACCTTAAATGAGATGGATTGATACAGTGGCTACAACATTGGACTCGAATATAAGAACAATTGTGAAGTTGGCACAGGACCAGACAGTGTTCTGTTCTCTCATGCAAAGGGCTGCTATGGGTCAGAACAGAGCCATATTGCCTGCCAATCCTGGAAGCACCTGGCATCTGACCTGATTGGATTAATGTGCTTCTTCAGTCATAAGGCTGACCTGCTGACCTTGGATTCCTTTGTCTGGGAATGCTCGTTGCCCTCCTGCTGACCTTGGGCTCAACAGCCCTTGCAGTTATTGAGTCAAGAGAAGCCTCCAGCCCAACATCTGACCCAGAGACTTAGAACTTGCACAATTCTACAACTGCGTGAGACATTTTTCTTGGCCTAAATTTCTCTGTATACATACATTTATTCACTGCTTTTATTCTCCTACAAAACCCAGCCTGAGACACCTACCTACTTTCTCTGCTTTTGAAATGTTCATATTTTCCAAGTTTCCACTGTCAATATTTTAACAGTCATCCTTCAATAGAAATAATGATGCGATATTTTCCCATCATGCTGTAACATCAAAGTTAGAACACAGAACGCAAACACCCCTCTAACTGGCTTTATTTTCTCTTGAACTAGTACACGGAGATGGTTACCCGGCAACTAGAAGTATACAAAGTTTCTAGCACTATCAAAGTTTAAACCACCAAATTGTGGTACAGACTTACGTATTTCTTCCACAACTTGTGGATCACATTCTCTGTATTTTTCTACTTCTGCCTTTAGCTGATTCCGTTGGTCCTGAAGTGAGGAGAGTTCCTTTGCTAGCATGGTTCGTTCTTCCTGCATTCAAAACATTTTTATGTGTACTTAAGACCAATAAAACGCCATATTTTGTGAGGTAATATATTGTATAAACACATTTTGAATCACATGTCTCATGAATGACATATGCATTAGGATTCTGACCTTAACTTAATATTATATATAACCAGTTGCTGTTGATTGGATTCCAACTTGTGGTGGCCTCAAGTGTATCAGACTAGATTTTCTGAAATCTTAAGCATATTTCATATACATGAATTGGAATTATTAAGTAGCATGAAATGTTCAGAAACAGTTGTAAGGTTACTGAATATCTCTGTATGAACTCTGAAACAACCAGGCTATATCAGGGCTTGAAAAGGTAAGGGAATTTCCCCACACATTTTTGAAGCCCCCTTCTGTATTAGGTTAAAAGCAAACAAACTGTCCCTCTGGTAGTTTCACAAGATTATATGTATCTATGTAAGTGAGATATTACATCAATAATTTAACATTTTTTATATTATTTTTTTAACATCAATAATTAAACATTTTTTCCTGAAAACATTTTTGTAGATAAAATTTTAACCTTTAAAGATGCTTAACCTTTACAAATATTTAAATATGGGAGAAATAGCAGAGTTGTAGCTTGTGTCCTCATTCCATTTTCCTTTAAAATGGAAACAGAAAAAAGCTTTAAGATTCAATAAACATCATTTAAAATTCTAAGTCGTATTTCTCCTGAAAGGTTGAACTCATAGCATTGTGTGTTGATGTCATAGTCACAAACATTTAATTTATTTTTGTGAAATTGTAACAAGTTCTAACAAAAATCAAATGCTGGCAAAGACATTACTGGGTATGTCTGGGGTAAAATCAAGAGAAGTTGAAGTTATCTACTGGAACTTGTCTATAGGTCCTTCTGGCTTATATTTTTGTATTTGTTTATATGTAATTTTTCTACTGTTGTTAGCTGCCTCTTCTTCAATGTGAAGAAAGCATCTTTTTTAGCCTCTATAGAGAGACTATGATGTGGGAAGCTATGCCAACAGTACTTCAAATACCAGCAGGGTCACCCCCAGGGACCAGGCTTCATTTAATAAAGCTTCCAGACTAAGAACAGATTAAGTAGGAAGAAAAGGTGGTTCACTTCTGAAAAAGTAGCGACTGAAATAGCAGTGGAACAGTGTCTGAAACAGTGTCAGAAGACAAGCCTGAGGTTGGAAGGCACTCAAAATGCCTCTTCAAAGTAGAAGTGACTTTAATGACAAGGATGGAAGTTGTCAAAAATTAAATGGACCGTGGAAAGAGCACTACCCTAGGTGTTAGTGGACTGAGGACAGGTACTGGCTATTTAACTCGATAGTCATATGGTTTACAATGTCAGGAATGACAAATTCAAGGGGAATGGTGATGTGTTTATCATCAAAAAGAACATTCCAAGATCTATCTTGAACTGTAATACTGTCTGTGATACGACGATAATTTATGCACATAAGAAAGTCTAGTTAATACAACTATTATCCAGATTGACTGTACAACTACTGAAGCCAATGATGAACAAATTGAAGAATTCTACCTACTTCATCAGTGTGAAATTGATCAAATGCAGGGATAAAGGAACAACAAGTGAACTAAAATCGATGGAGAGAAAGGCGTAGGATGTCTCGTGGGGCTTAACCAACCGAGAGGAATTACTGATACCTGAATGAAGGCTGAACAATGATAGTGGGATAAGAGGAAAGTAAAAGGAAATAGAGGAAAGAACTAGGAGGCAAAGGGCATTTATACACATATAAATATATTTTTCCCTGAAAATAAGACATTGTCTTATATCTATTTTTCCTCAATAAGTCATACTATGGCATATTTTCAGGGGATGTTTTACTACTATTAAGTATGGTACAACAATCTACATTTTATTCAAATATAATGAAGTCGTCTTCTTCTGGAACATCGACCCACAGTGCTGAGTCAAACGGCAGCCACAGCTTTACTTCTTCCCACTGAGGACACACAATACCTAAAGCAGAGCCTCCTGCTCCCCACTCCACTGAGACTTTTACTTTCACTTTCCATGTCTCCCTCTGTGCCTCAGCTTGCAGCATGCACAGAACGACCGGGACCTCACAGGGGGAGCCCACCTTGTCACGATGGGGCAGATGAGAAGGACTGCCAGTCTTCGTTACTGCTCCACACCAGTACGTACGCTGCAGAGCCACGCCTATCACTATGTCTTATTTTGGGGGTATGGCTTATAAAGCGCAAAAGCTTAGAAATCCTGCTATGGCTTATTTTATGGGTATGTCTTATTTTCGGGGAAACATGGTATTATGTAAGTATTACGGTAGCAGATGGACATTGAGCCTTGATTCAAGTACTCCCTGAAAGCAAGAACACTTTGTTCTACTAACCTGGCATTCTGTGATGCTCTCCTTCCTGACACAATCACTGAAGGCAAAATAAGTGCATAAGCAAATGTGGTGAAGAAAGCTGATGGCGCCCAGCTATCAAAAGATATAGCATCTGGAATCTTAAAGGCTTGAAGATAAACAAGGAGCCATCTAGCTCAGAAGCAACAAAGCCCACATGGAAAAAGCACACCAGCCTGTGTGATCATGAGATGGGATCAGGTATCTGGCATCAATGACCCAAACAAAAAATCATTTCAAAGTGAACAAGGGGTGTGTGTAGGATAGACACCCAAAGTCCATCTGTAGACAATTTGACATTCCCTTACAGAAGGGTCACAAGGAGAGACAAGCCATTGAGGGTGCAGTTTGGCACTAATGAAACATACAACTTTCCTCTAGTTCTTTAAAGCTTCTCCTCCCCCATTACCATGACCTCAATTCTGCCTTACAAATTTGACTACCAGAGCATATACACAGGTACAAATAAGAGCTGGAAACACAGGGAATCCAGGACAGATAAACCCATCAGGACCAAGAATGAGAATAGAGATACCAGGAGGGTAAGGGTAAGGTGGGGAGAGAGAAGGAGAATCAATCACAATGATCAACATATAACATCCCCCGCGGGGGGATGAACAACAGAAAAGTGGGTGAAGGGAGACAGGGGACGATGTAAGATATGACAATAATAATACTAATTTATAATTTATCAAAGGTTCGTGAGGGAAAAAAATGAGCTGATATCAAGGGCTCAAATAGAAAGAAAAATGCTTTGAAAATGATGGCAACATATGTACAAATGTGTGCTTGACACAATGGACGTATGTATGGATTGTGATATGAGCTGTAAGAGCCCCAATAAAATGATTTAATAATTTAAAAAATGAAATTGATCAAATGTGCAATAAAGATATATTGATATTGGTGATTAGAATGCAAAAGTTGGAAACAATGAGGGAGGATCAATAATTCCAATATAAGGTCTTGGTGATAGAAATAAAGCTGGGGATTACACAAAAGAATTTTATATGATCAATGATTTCATTGCAAATACCCATTTTTGACAACATAAACAATGACTATACACATGGACCTCTTGAGATGAAATAAACAGCAATTAAATTTATTATATCCTGGGAAAAGACAATGGAGAAGCTCAACATCACCAGCAAAAACAAAGGCAGGGGCTGACTGCGGAACAGATAAAATATTGTTCATTTGGAAGTTCAGTTTAAAGTTGAAAAATATTGAAACAAGTCCACAAGAGCACAAATATGACCTTGGGTTCACTGTACCTGAATTCCGAGACCATTTCAAGAACAGATTTAACACACTACATGATACGTGAAGAAAGACGAAAGTGGATGTCAGAAGAGACTTGTTGCTCAACACAGAAGAGTAAGGTAACGAGAAGAAATGAGGAAGTGAAAAAGATGAATACAACTTCAAAGGGCAACTCAAGGACACAAAGTACGGCATTGTAATGAAATGTGCAAAGACCTTAAGTTAGAAAGCCAAAAGGACAAACACACTCAGCACATCTCAAGCTGAAAGAACTGAAGGAAAACGCAAGCCTGTGTGAGAATATTGCAAGATTCTAAGGGCAAAATCTTGCGCTGGACATGTGACCAGGTGGGACTATTTTCTGGAAAAGGATATCTAGTACAAGGAGAGTGAAGAAGAGGAAGACCCTCCACAGACGGACTGACACAGTGGCTGCAGCAACAGACTCAAGCAGAACCACCGTGAGGAGCGCAGGATCGGGTAGTGCTTCAATCTGCTTTAAGAACGAACGCAGCTTCACTGTGCGCCGTAGCGGCCTCAAGGGCGCCTAGCAACATCAAGACTTGTGCACAGTTCCTCGCTGGCTTGTAATTCAAAATCTGACTTTATGTATTTTTCTACTGCTGTTTTCGATGTGCAGAAAGGTCCTTTGTTAGCACCTGCACAGAGTAGTCAACTCTAAAGCAGGACTGCCAACAAAACTCTCTTCTTATCATATCCTCGTCACCATTATTATCTTGAAGAGTATCTACTAGACAACCCAAACAAAACCAGTTATCATGGAGCTGACTCGGACGCCCGCAACCGCATGTGCATCAGAGCAGACCTGTGCTCTAGAGGGGTTTTCTTTCACTTTTCCAGAAATATGAATTTACATTAGCCATTTAATGACCCTGCTTACATTTTCCACAAGTCACGTAACTATTCTTACCCTCTTCTTCTGAATTCTTCCTCCATACATAAGCTCATTGTCTCCTAAGATCCTCAAATGATCTCTTGAGTTGGTTTTATCAATTTGATCCCATATGGCTCTTCCATAGGGTTTTCAATAGCCCATGTTATGTTGGAGGCAGCTCATCAGGTTTGACTCAAGATGGTTCGAGATAAATGGAAGCTCAAACTTTCTCTTAGCAGCTGACTATGTGAAACCACCAAGGCATTCCTATCAGGTAGATAGAGGGGAGATATTTTTTAAAGTCTTGCTATGTGACTCAGAACAAGTGCAAGAGGTCACTTTTCTCGGGAGGCTTTCTGCACCACTGCTCTCTTCTGATAGCTGTAGTCATCCACTATCTTTGTGGGTGAGTTTTTTTCCTCCTACTTACATTGGTTCTGGTAGACTAGAAGGCACACAGCAGATGGGCTAAAAACTTCTGGAAATGGAGATGTGATTATTAGTTGATACTATTTCTGTGCATTCTGGTCAGTGTTGAAGAAAAAGAGGATTGAGAAATAGTTGGTCCTATTGTTAATTGAAGAAAAAAATACAACCGCTTCAGATATGCCTAGAATGTACCTTCTCTTGAATATTTGTCAGAAAGGACCATTCAATTTCTAATGGTGATGGTGCCGACTGTTCATAAGCATGTACGCGAGTTGTGAAATGCATAAAGCCACTGTAAACCTATGGTGTGTCATTATTCCTTTCTACAATGTGACCCGTTTAGAGTAGCTTTCTTTCCCCCATCAAGGCCTACAAATAGGGTAATGCCTTAAGATTTTCAGAATAGAGGCCCAGCTAGAGAGCAAACAAACAAAAACCCCAACCAAAAAAGATCATTGCCATTGATTACAACTTGTGGTGACTCCTTGTTACAGAGAACTGTTCCATATAGTTCTCTTGGCTGCAATCTTTGTGGAATCCATTGCTAGGTCTTGTGGATTGAATTATGTTCCCCCAAAGTATGTATTGTAATTCTTAACCCTTGTACCTAATGGCACAGTGTTTAAAGCATCCAGTTGTGGAAGAAAAATGTGGTAACCAGCTTCCATAAAGATTTGTAGGCTTGGAAACAGTATGGGGCAACTCTGTTCTAGAAGGGTGACTCATATAAGGGTCACTATGAATTGGAATCTATGATAGCAATGTTAGTTGTTGTTTTTTTTTTGGGGGGGGTTCCAAGGAGGGAGGTATATCTGTGGTTAATGAGGAAGTATTAGAATAAGGTGGATTTGATCATCAGTGTCAATGTTTTTTGAGATATGTAAGATCAAATTAAACAAGCAAACACAAACAGAAAAGTTAAGAAAAGATTGTGTGTGCGTGTGAGTAAGTAGGGGGTGGAGGGGAAAGGGAGGAAGACAGAGAGAGCGAGTCAGAGAGGGATGACAGAAAGGGGGGGGGGGGAAATGAGGGAGAGAATTCCCCTAGGTTGGTACCCTGAATTCAAGCTTCAGCCTCCTGAAAGTTTGTTTGTTAAAGCCACCTACCTGTTATAGCAGAACTAGATGACTAAGACAGACTTTGCCACTAGGTGGCTTCAAACCTTGAATATTTAGATTAGCAAACCAAACTCATTGTCTTTGAGTTGATTCCAAGTCAATAGCGACCCTAAAGGACAGAGTAGATTTGCCCCTGTGGGTTTCTGAGATTTTAAATCTTAACAGGAGCAGACGACCTCATCTTTCTTCCATGGAGCAGCTGCCGAGTTCAAATTACTCACTTTGTTAAGCACACCACTTCGCCACCAGTACCCCTTGTTCAGGTTAGCAGTAGCATGTGGAAGTCATTTGCACCACCCAGGGACCTTACATGGAACGCAGTTAGTGGTTTATGTGGACCTTCAATATTTTTAAAGCCATAAATTCAAACTCTAGATAAAACTAGAAAGTAGAATGACTGCTTTGAATCCCTAAAATAATACTTTCGAGAACAATATTCCTTAAAAAATAAAATAGGTTAAAAAATAAAATAAAATACGTTAGTGTTCATTTAAACAATGTAAAAGTACTACAAAGCAACACACATATTATGTAATAATTTTCAGGGGGGTTTTCTATTAAAACAAAAAACAAAACCCCCCCAAACATTCAAATATTTATATAGGGCTTACTACCTGCCATGGATCTGTGGGTGGTATAAATAGTTAATGCACTCAGCGGCTAACTAAAAGGGTAGAAGTTTAAATCCACGCAGGTCCTCTTCCAAGAGTTTTGCAAATATTAACCAATCTAACCCAGTTAGGTAGGGTTCACGGTTTTCAATAATACAATTGAGAAACAAGGGGTTTAGGAGACACCCAAACCAAATCAGTCTGGTTCCAAGGCTTATGCTTCTTTGCTATGTTGCCAAATACAGTACATTAATGATAAGAGAAAAAATTCCATATTCATGTTTGTGAAACCTCCCATGTCAAACTTTCTCGGATCCTTTCCACTTCTCTTCTAGAAGGAATGATATCCCTCCCACCTCTGTCCTCATTCTTCTACTTATAAATGCCATTATTAAAGGCTCTACAGACACAAACTTACCGTCTGCTCCCGGCCAATTTTGGCTTTGTCAATGTTTTTCTGTAGGTTTGCGTGCTTTTGGCTTCCCTCAGACAACTAGAACATCAAAAACAAATTCAGATCAGTTAACAGATTAAAGAGTGAAGACTGTATTAAAACCATTTGTAACTTAAAAACAAAGAAGACAAAGAGACCAAGGGACCATCAATTATTAGGGACCGTCAGATGAGTTTTAGGGAAGACTGAAAATGAGAGTTAAAGCACCGTTCCCTCTTACTTCCAGTAAAATGGACAGGCTTTGATTTCCCCTAGTCTTCCAGTCTTCATTTATCAGGTTCCCTACCCCATCTCCATGCACTCTCAGGCCTACTCTTGCTTAGTTTGAAACCGAACATAAAAAGATGTTAAATGCTTTATATATTTTCTCTTAAGATTTCAGTTCATTCTGACTAATGTCTTTTCAAAATACCCCATGCTGGTGTTGTCTTGTAGACTTGTGAGTTTTGTGACTTTTCACTAATAGAGTTATAAAGGGACCAACACTTATTATTTTTAAATGAGCTACTTTGTGAGAAACTGTATACATGATAGGCTACGTTTAAAGAGAAGAAAAAAATCTGTTAGCCTACTGTCAAGAGAGTTATGCATTTGAAAAATGATCAGCTAAAGCATTGTACTCAGTTTAGCAAGTAACTGCCGTAAGTCACATGTAGTAACGGATTAAATAATACCAAGATAGCAGAAAAAGGGAATATTTATTAGCCTGCGCTGGACACACACAAAAATTACTGATTAGTTTCTGAAAATTATTTCTGTTTCTCAATTTAATTAACTTCATCTGGGCTCATGACTAAATAAATAACAACAGGATATTCCCAATCTTTTTCTATGAACTAACTAGACATTTCAGATTCACATGATTTTCTAAGAAATAGTTAAACATTTCAGATTCATGGTTAAGTAAGTGCCTTCTTAACACATGTCCCATACACACTCCAACTCCTGAGTTAAAATCATTTAGAAAATAAGTGGTTGGATAAATGTAATCTCTTTTTGGTTTATTACATAAGAAGCTGACTTGACAATGAGACCCAGTTATACATACAATAAATAGATAATCTTTTTGGGACATATAGTGCCTACCAAAATTTTTTCACCTGAGGGCTAGTGGGAAACAGGTATCCCACTTTTAGTGCATGCTGCCATCTGCTGGGGGCCTGTACAACGAATGAATCTGAAGAAATGTCATTCTACCAACTCTAGTACCAGAAGAGACTTCTTAGGACATATGTGTCTCATTAAATCTCTCAAGACCCATATGACCTCAAATTGTTTTTTGTTTTTCATCTCATGCAAAATGCATTTCATTGCTGGAAACAGTTTCAACAAAAAATTCAAAGTAGAAAATTCTATGATGCTCACCTTCCCGACACAACCGCTGAAGACAAAGCGGGTGAATAAGCAAATGTGGTGAAGAAAGCTGATAGTACCCGGCTATCAAAAGATATAG